TGAACATATCCGAAAAACCAAACCAAAAATCTCAGTACACCAAGTTTACGTTTGAAATGACATTTTTTTCTGTGGATTTCACTTTTTTTACAGATAATTTCACGTACTTATGATGAGTTGCATTCGATCCATTCGAAAATATTCTTCTCTTATGTTAACAAAAACATCAGGTAGCATCATGTTTTCCTTAAAAGTAATGTAAGCTTATCATATACTTTTATATCGTCAACATAAATTCACTAAGTGTAAAATATTTCAGTGTCAAAACTGAAAAGATTCTTCCTTCAACAATAATGAATATCTTGGGTGCACCATATCCACAAATAATGCTTCACAATTCGGCAATCAACATCTTATCATTCAGATCAAATCCTTTATTTTCATTCATGTGTTACTCAACAGTTATGTTCTCCGTGTAATTTATCAATTCATTTAATGCAAATTTCATAAATGACTTCATGTACAGTTCATATGTACGTACAACACCACACAGGAATATATATATATATATATAGATACATATATCTATGTTATGCATCATCATATATACTAACAGTATTAGACATATGCCTGCTAACTATTTCTCAATACTCATGCTGTCAATTACTACTTAATGCTTTCTCTAATAAAAGGTAACAACTACATTAGCTGTCTCGGTTTCACAAAATAAGTAATCACCAACAGATTTCAGCTAATCAGTGATTCTGCAGATAAAATTCATTCCTCTAGTATTAATATTCAAGCTGTCCATTACAATATTGTTCAATATATAGTCATATCAACATGAGCTAAATACAATATTCAATAGTAAAATACACTCACTGTCCTAGATAACCGAAAGTACCAATTGCACTATTACTCCTGAGTCGATCTACTCACTACGATCAGCATAACAGAAAACAGATACCCACAAATTCCAGTAAAACCAAAGACTTTTCCCCTCAGGTTCTTATCAACATTATTCATGCTGTGTGTCGATTAAAAACATAACTCGCTCAAAGCGCATGTGTACAGGCCACATAAATTTCGCACTGAATGTTTATATCACCAAAAACGTTCTGCAAATATTCACTGAAAAATAAATCCACTGTAGTGCTCAGAAAGTAAAGATCACAATTTCCTTTCAGTCTATAAATGAACAAGAGATTATAATGATCTTTTCTAGTCATGGCAATTGTAATGTTCTAAACATAACATTTAATATAAACATTGATAACTGATAGCTCGGAAAGGGCCACAATACGTTTTTAGCTTAGTTTTTGACCTCCTAGCAGTCATTTCCAATCATACTAATGATGATCTGGGAATTATATATGTCACTTATCCTAACTTTATAAAAATGAACAGCTATCATCGAATGTCTTATAGACATCTGTTAATAAGACTCTGCTCAATAGTTTGAAAAATAAGGGCCACGATACCCTTTAGTCTTGTTGATTTTCCCATCAATAAAAACTTTTTTTTTATTTTGTAATAACTGAGTAGTCATCATATGATTTAAAATGTGCATTTCATTTGACACTTCAGAAAGTAAGGAATGTCAATGACCTTCTCTTCTAAACGTTTTAATCAAGTCAAGCACTGATCTGTTTATCCTGAGCACCAGAGCCCAGCCATTTAAAACAATGTCCTATGTGAAATGTTTAATCAAATTTCCAAGTCTTCCCTGGTTGTACCCTTAAATTTCAGTACAAGTATCTGCCAAGCTTTACTCACAGGGGCATATATGGATGACAGTAGTTTATGCTTTCGTAATGTCTCAACCAACATTAGGCTTAAATGCTCAAGAAATCGAGGGGTACAGAATAGTGGGTGTGATCGATCAGGAACCCTTATTTTGGACAAATGTAAGATCCAAGTTCCTGTGCAGCAGAATTACTGATTGTTGAGGGTGGCTCATCCATTAGCTCAGATTTCTCCATGACACATAGCTAAATTAACTATATAGTTTCACCACAGAGAAATTCATGACTGCTAGTGAAACAGCTTGGGCTAATAAATGCCATCAGCAGCATCACCTTCGGTTTCTCTTCATTGGTCTTAAGAGACATATACCAAAGTCAGGGTTGGTATACCCTGTTCAGCAAATACCTGAGAGTGCAATAGAGATCATCTCATGACGACCTCTGTACATTCTATGTGCTGTAAACAATCTTCAGCGCTAGATCCCTATCAACGGGTCAGGAGGTCCCATGCTACAGTTCTCTTTTTGAGTCTGTGGCTGCATCAACATCATAGTCCTAGGCCTTAATTAAATTGGCAAAAGTCTTATGTTCAGAATAGGATCTTTCTGAAACCTAACTTTTCTCTCAGACGTATCTTTCTATAGTGATCGAGTGGTCAGGAGGTCCCATGCTACAGTTCTCTTTTTGAGTCCGTGGCTGCATCAAGATCATAGTCCTAGGCCTTAATTAAATTGGCAAAAGTCTTATGTTCAGAACAGGATCTTTCTGAAACCTAACTTCTCTCTCAGACGTATATGTATCGTATTTCTATAGTGATCAGCATGCTCTTTCTTTTGGTTTTGAGTCCTTTAACTCTTGGAAAATCGAATCTCCTTTCACACACAAATTTTTAACCTTAAGTCACAGTAGGCTTAAAAGAGCAGCATAAAATTTATTCCTTGAAAAAACAGAAAACCCCTCTTTACTACTTTACTATGTAGTATTCTTAAGTGCACTGATAACCTTAGAGACAAGTGTGGGGATTGCAACAGCTTGAGGAACACCAGAAAACTCATCATGGAGCTAAAATGGGATTCTCTGACTCAGGTTGAATTTAAAGTAAAAAAAGAGACAAAGTACAATTTGAACAGAATGAAAGGGATCTATGTTCGATGCTCAAACAATTCAAAGCAACAAGTGTACTCGATAATAGGCAGTGCAAATTAATGGATATGTAGCTCTAAACTCTCTGATTTTTGAGCCTGAATCTAACATTTGCTCTAAACTGATAGAACATAGCACTGCATATAAAACTTTATAGTGTCATTCTTTCTGTGTGCATGTACTACCCAATGTTGGCTATTCCAATAGAAAATAAGGAGGAAACAACTTCAAGGTATCTCCTGAGCCGCCAATGAATTGTTCACTGTGTACTTTTACATATTATATTTCACTATACAGCAATATTTTCAACAAGAAAACACATATAACACCAAATATGGATGACATAGAACAATAGATAACTAGAGCGAAAGAAATCTAGCTACATTCCATGACCAACGTTCAACTGTCATAACCAAATACACGGTTAGAAACACGTATCTTCAAAAGTTTTGAATATTCTCCGAGAATATGAATGAAATAAGAAAAAATAACAGACTGGAAACACTGATTGTGTTCCGCATACTAAAGTTCGTTATATAAAATACTCTTTTCTATGCCATTGCTAGCACGCAAAGCAAATAGACCTTTTATGTAAATTTTGAACAAGAATAAAAAAAAACAGTTTTACACAGTATTTTCTAAAGGTGTAGCGATACAGAGATAGGATACTCGTATCGTATCGTGAAGCCCCGATACGATTGTATCGATACATCGTCCAATACGATACGATTTATGTATCCTCACGACATTTGGCAAGCTTTCAGTAAACGTTATAAGTCTTTTGTACAGAAAAAATCAGAATTTATAATGAAGTATTTTTGCTAAAAAGTAATGATTAAACAGAGGAATATGAGTATTGAGTACTATATGTTGTCT